GGCAGTGGGTGTGGTTTGGGCTTTGCTTCTGTGAAGATTGACAGCCTTGGAGACCCTGTGGGCAGTTCCACTCTGTCCTCTAGGGGCGCTGTGAGCTGGAATAGACTCCACCGCAGCAGGTGTATCTCTATTACTCATTTTCTTACACCCTGTATTTCTTTTATAACCCAAGCCTCTCAGGGACAACATGTGTGGCCCTAATGGTGAGATCACCTTTAAAGAATGACAGGTGCCTGCAGGGGGCCGTGCACTAAACGTGACTGACTCATGGTAGGGGGAGGGCGTTGTCTACTGGGCACATGTCCCAATTTCTTTTTAACGAGATAGCTCATTTCTCAGGGAAGACAGGCAGTCCTGGAAGTGAAACCACTGATGACACGGTGCTAAGTTAGGCCCGATGGGTGTAGTGTCCCTGCAGTGTCAGAGTGTGGCCTCAGTGGGACGGGGGGCCTCAGGAACTGAGGGGAAGTGGTGGTGTCTGGGTGAGCTTCCCTCCTTTTTGATAAAGCTGGTGGCGGCGGCTCCCACAGTGGCCAAAACAAAGTCATAAATGTTGTTTTTGAAGAGCAGCCTCAGGCACAAGGGAGGTGGGGTCCAGGGTGCTTTCAGAAGCCCTAGTGGGGTCTCCCGGTCCAGAACAGTCATGTGGGTGCTGGCCGTGGGCTCAGGAGCTTGGAAGCTGGCATCCCAGGACAACAGAGATGAGCCAAGGGGGTCTGCCAGGAGCCTGCAGAGGGCCTGGCCAGACCAGAGCTGAGTCACAGCCCAGAGGCCTGGCCTCCGCAAAACTGGCTGACGAAGTGAGGCAGTTACTGGCTTGACACAGCTTCGGGGCACTTCCAGCACATGACCACGGGACATCAACAAGCAGCGGACGCTGCCAGGCGGTCCTGCACTGCTCTGGCTCGGAGGGCGGCTGGCTGGGCAGAGCAGGGGCATGGTGTGTACATGGGGCCGTGCGGGCAGGCCCTGCAGGCAACACTGGGGTGGTGTTTTCCAAGAAAGCCCTGTCCTTCAGCCAACCCTTTGCCGTGGAAGAAGCTCCATGCTCTTCAGAACCATCGCTCAGTCCAAGACACCAGACACTGTGGGCATGGGGGGCCGCCGCTCTCACTTTGCAGGTGGGAACACCTGGGCCAGGAGAGCCAAGGCCACGCGGCAAACGGACTGCAGAGGGAGCTAGTCCGCCTCTGCGGGAGGAAATTCCAGCCTGAAGGAGCACGTGCTTTGCTTTGCCTACCAACACCTGGGTAAGCGTGGCATGGCTAATGCTGGCAGGCAGTGCCCAGCTCAGGGCGACGTGTTCTGCCTTCAGTCTTGTCCTCGCCGCAGTGGGCAGCACAGGCTTTGGAGAAGGGTGCCAAGTTCCTGGTGACAGTGGGCACAGAAGGCCTGGCCCAGTGCCCTGCCCTTTCCAGCTTGCTCCGGATTCCAGGTGAAGGTGGCAAGCAAGGTTTCTGACGTGGCTCAGTTAACAACGTAAAACACAAACAAACCAAGATGGGGAGGGAGAGGTATCTGGGGCCTGGGGCCCATCGAGGAGGAGCCAGCCAAGCACTGGTCCAGGGGCCCCAGCTCCCAAAATGTGGGCCACAAACACGGGTGCACCCCAGCTTCTCAGTCATTATCACGACCGCTCTGTGAAGGTGACGTCAGTGAAATACTGAGACGCTCTGATTTTTTGTACTTTCTCTGAAGCAAGCATGTGGGGGAGTTTCGCAGGAGGACAGTGTGGGTGTTCACGCGCTGGCAGGCGGAGCCTCAGCGGCCAGGCCTGAGGCAGCCTGATCGTGAACCTGTCCCACAGCTCGGCCCAAGCTGGGGGCGTAAGAACAGACCCAGGGGAGCAGCCGCCCGGGGGCATCAAGGGGAACTTGGACTTCTCCCTGGGTTCTAAACGCCACCAGCCCCTGACTTGCAGGCTGGAGAGGGAATTCCTGAAAAAAAACTCACCTTGACCGTGTCAAATGGGTGTCCCACGAGCACGCCTGCCACACCTGGGGGAAGAGAGGGAACTGGTTGGGTACCTGCCCTGGACACGTGTGATAGGTGGCACTGGGGGTGGGGCAGGAGCTGCTGGGGGGAAGGGTCATTTCCCAGGCATCCCGTGTGCCAGCTGCATCACTCACACTCCTGTGACACTCATGCCCGAGGTGTCTGTGTGATGTCCCCAAGGTCAAGCCAGGATCTGTCAGACTCAGCTGATATCCTGAGAGGACCCCCTTGCTCCAACCACCTCCTGCCTGGCAGGAGGCTCGGGGATTTGGGCTTTGGGGTCAGACCCTTACCCGGAGCTGGATTCGCTGTTTCCCCTGCACTGACCTGCCAGGTAAGCTCATGGCTTGGAGTCTCTGAGCCCCACTGTCCCTGTCATGTGCAGAGCAGAACTGCCCAAGAGAGTTTGCAAGGCTGCTTCTAGAACGGCCAGGCCCGTCTTCTGAGAAGCGGGCTGGACGGCCAACCTCTTGACTAGCAGTGGTAGACTTAACCATGTGTGCCACCTGGCTCTTGGTGGCAAAACGGGTAAGTGGCTGCTGGCCAAGAGGCAGTTCAAACCCACCAGCCGCTCCACAGGTGAAGGGCCCTGGCCACCCTAAGAAGCCTGGGGAGCAGTTCTGCCGTCGCGTGGGGCCGCTGTGAGTTACAGTCAATTCAGCGACCGCCAACGCCAGTTAGTGTCTGCCTCCCTCAGGACCTAGTGTACAGCAGGACCTAGCTGGCAGCACTGCACCCTCCCGCGTGGGTGCCGCCTCCAAGCGCAGGGAGGCAGCTGTGACCTGGTGTCATGCTCGGCTTATGTCTCAGTCCTGGTGCTGCCCAAAATCCAAGCCCCACAAAGAGCGAAGGTTCACCCTCCAAGCCGGCTCACCGACACCCCTCAGAGCCCTGCCGGGGGTGCAGGGGGGTCAACTCCTATGACTCTCGACACCACTGCTGCAAGCACCCCATTTCACAGAAGGGGAAACTGAGGCTCCGAGGTTAAGCAAGGCTCACAGGTCACGCCTCTTCCTCCCCAGACACTGTGTTTCCAAGGTCTCCTTTTAGCGTCACAAGTTGAAATTGACTCCACGGCAACCAGCAACAATGTTTGCTTTCTATGTAATTAAAACAGTGAACACTCATTGACTGACAGACAGCGCTGTTCCTACCTGCTGGTTAGTGCTTTGCACACGTGCTGACTCTCCCGGCTACACACCTGTAAGGAAGGGACTAAGCGCCTGGTTACCAGACAAGGAAACCGAGGCACAGAAAAGCTGTTTGTCCTTACCACACGGAGAGTCAGTGGTGGAGCTGGGACTCGAACCCAGGCTGCCTGGCCCTGTAGTCCCCTCCCTAACCACTCACCTCTCCCGCTCCCTGCCAGAGCTGGTCATTGGGTCAGTGGCTATCCAAAGGTTAATGAGAACTTCCCTCACAAATTGTCCTTTTTGTCCTTACACAACACCCCATTCAGCCCATTAATGCTTTGGACGTTAAGACTCTGTGGGTTTGATATTAACTTTGCCAATCTTGGTTTCTTTTCTGTTGGATGTGCCTGATCCAACTCTTGATTTTCAGCCTTTTCTTAGGACTGTTTCTATAACAACCCGCAGTTGGCTTTTGCTTTGGAAGCCCCGCCCCCACGGCAGTTCCGCTTTCCCGGAACCCCGTCAGATCCCGTCAGACCCGGTCAGATCCTCAGATCTGTCAAGTCCCAGCAGCTCTGATTCCGCCTCATTTAATGCAGATGCTGGGCTATTACATTAATCCCCTTCTGCTTGTGACTCTGGAACATCAGCTAAGGGCCCCTCCATGTTTCTAACAGTTGTCCTCATTATTCACCAACAGGAAGAACACACCCCGCACCAAGACTGCCCCCTCCTGCTCCACCCAGCCCAGTAAGATCCACCCCAGGCCCACCAGCTGGCTAGCTTTCACCCAACGTGGCCTGGAAGCCCTAGGAGACTTCTCGCCTCCTCACTGCTCTCCTACTGCTAGGGACTGAATTGTGTCCCCTGGCAATCTGTATGCAGGAGTCTGAACCCTGCACCTGAGTCCACTGTGACCAGGGTTATGTTTAGGAAGCCATCAGTGTAGGGGAAAGCCTCCTCGCTGCGTGATGGGAGGGCAGATGACATTCAGAGGTATGCACCAGCGGGGAGAGGGCAGGTGGCATGTCAGGATAGCCAGGAACCCAGCTGCGACACGGATCTCCCCCCAGAGCCTTCCCCCCAAGCCGGTACCCCGCACTCACAGTGCTAGGCTGCTGAATACTGAAAAAATCAATGTCCGACTTCAGCAAGGAGGACATTCAGGCGGCCAACAAACATGAAGAAATGCTCACGATCATGAGCCATTAGAGATGCAAATCAAAACAATGAGATACCATCTTGCTCCAACACTAGTAGCAAAGTTCAACAAGACAGAACATAACAAATGCTGGCGAGGATGTGGAGAGATTGGGACTCTCATACACTGCTGATGGAACTGTAAAATGGTACAACCACTGTGGAAAGCAGTATGGCGATTCCTTCAAAAGCTGGAATTAGAAATACCATTTGACCCAGCCCATTACTAGGTATATATCCTAAAGAAGTGAGAGCCATGATGAGAACAGACATACGCACACCCATGTTCATCGCAGCACTATTTACAATAGCAAAAAGTTGGAAACAACCTAGGTGTCCATCAACTGAGGAATGGATAACCAAACTATGGTACATACACACAGTGGAATACTATGCAACCCTGAAGAATAACCCAGAATCTGCAAAACACCGCATAACATGGATGAAGTTGGAGGACATTTTGCTGAGTGAAATAAGTAGATCACAGAAGGGCAAATATTGTATTAGTCTGTTATTGTAAAAGTCAAGGGAAGGTTTATCTATAGAAGGAAATTTTCTTTGTTGGTTACCAGGGGTGGGAGGGGAGGGGAGGGAACACTGTTAGATAGGTAGAGATAAGTATGGATTTGGGTGAAGAGAAGGGCAGTGTACCAAATCGACATGGTGGCATTGAGGAAGAGGAAGACATAGAGAGGTACATGGGAGGACAGACAACAAAGATGAACCCTTTTGCAAATACAGTACTGCGTTGTCAGTGAAGGCAAACATGGGTATACAGGTGGATAGATGGGTGGACAGGCTGAATGAACTATTAGGTATGTCTATGCAGCAGGGAGTGCACTCAAGACCATGTACAGGGTTGGCAGACAATGTTCCTGTAAGTGTATTTGTATGATCTGAATTCCTAGGAATAATAGGAAAGCTGACAAGGAGCAAGGTTATAGTCACTTCTTGGACACAGCAAGATACCAAGAGGGACCTAGTAGTTAAAACCTGTGGGCTCAGGACCATAGTCACAGGGGACATCAAGCTCAATTGGTATAACATAGTACACAAAACATTGTTCCACCTCCTACTTTGGTGAGTAGTGACTGGGATCTTAAAAGCTTGCAGGCAGCCGTCTAGATGCAATGATGGGTCTCTCCTCATCCAGAGCAAAGAAGAATAAAGAAAACCAAAAATTCATGGAAAGAATTAGTCCTATCGACTGGTACACCATGCGATCCTCAGCTTATATGACTATGAGACCAGAAGAACTAGATGGTGCCCTGCTACCACTGTCAACCACTCAGAGGGGGTTCTATGTAGGAGATCCTGGATAAAGAGGAAGAACTATGTGGAACAAAACTCAAAATCATTTGGGGGAAAAAAAATGGGGGGGGGGTACCAGTTCTGCTGGTCTGATAGAGCCTGGTGGAAGCACTGATACTATGGCTTCTAGCTGCCCTTCAGGTCTGGAATTGAACCCACACCTGTGGCTTCCAGCCAAACAAAAGACAGGCATATGAGCTGAACATTTACCTGAGGTAGATACACTCCTTGGAGAGAACAATCATGGGAAAGAAGGGCTGTTTATGCACAGGGAGACAGTTCAGGGGGCAGGAATAGATGGAGGGCTGGACACAGGGAAGAGGTAACTATTGGGAGGAATTGGGAGGGGAGCTGTTGCATTGTGGTAAATTGTAGTCAATGTTATGAGACAAAGTGTATGTGAACTGCTGTACGGAAAGTGAATTTGCTCTGTACATTTTCACCCAAATCACAATAAAAAAACTTAAAAAAAAAACAAACAGCAATGAAAACAAGTCAATGTCTGCCCACTTGCAACATTTCTGTTTACAGTGGCCCTAGGAAAGGAAGACACCAATCTTGGGGGCCCTATTCTGATCACTGCTGTTTAGTTGGAGACTTTCTTGATTATATGCCTCAGACGGAACCCTTGGGGAAAATGCTCTGTGTAAAATAGATTTCTTTAACCCAGCAAAGCAGTACTCTGGATTGCAAGGCCCAGGCCAGTTAGTCTGCACAGTCCCCAGCCCTCCAGCTGCCAGTCCTGCACAAGACAAATCTGCTGCCAATATGTTTCTGCTCCTTTGTCAGTAACTCATTTATTCTGCCTGGAAGTCTCTGAGATTTTATCTGTATCAGGAATTTCACCAGCTGCCAAGGTGTGTCTGTTTCGCTCCCAGGAACCCCACCAGTGCTTTCACTCCACACACTCATTCCTTTTTCAGAGCAGAGGAAATTTCCACTATTACTTATTCATCTCCAGACCTACTCCTTTTCTCCTCTGGAACCCCTAACATTCCCGCAGGTCTCCCACCCACCCACCCAGTCCGTCTCCTCCCTTACGACTTCCATCTCTGTGTTTTTGGTCCCATTTCCTCTCTTCCCTTTGCCGCTTCATATTTTGAATGCTCTAAATTTGAAAATCCCAGTTCTACAATCCTTTTCTTGGGCTACAGCTGGATTTCCTTGGTGTCTAGAACCTGATCCATGCTCAAGGCATCCCCTTGGCCTCTCTTCTCCCTTCTGCATGGGCCCTTTGCAGCCAAGCCCAGCTGTGGGGTCCTGTAGGAACAGCCACAATTCTATTCCTAGGCTGGCCCAGGTGCATACAGCAACCTTCACCAGCCTCAGGGACCAGGGAGGAGAAAGGCCCTCACTGTACCAGCCTCTGTCGGGGGTCCAGGAGGGGGTTCCAGGGGCTCACCATCCAAGGGCTGCACTGGTATTCCCACTTTCTCCCCTGACTTACTCCAGTGACCTCAGGGAGGGGAGGGGCGCCTCTCACCCAAAAAAGCCCCACCCATGGGCACAGAGAGGACATGGGGCCTGCCCTCCATCAAGGTGTCCTACCCTACAAGGCCTGATGAAGATACTGAGGCCCAGGGGCCCTGTCTTCCAACTCCAAAGTGAGTGCTCACCTCCTACCTAAACTGGGTCTCAGGGTAGCCCTCACCCATCCAGAGTAGAAGGTGAGGCAGTGCCCCTACAGTCCCACTGGTGGGAGAGCCATCAAGATGACAGGCCTGTTTCCCACCCACCCCTGAGCTCTGTGCACCTGCTCCTGTCCATGCCCTGGCAGGGAGAGGCCCATCGGGAGTGCAAATCTGTGGATCCCACTCTGATGAGTTTTGGGGCTGCATTCCAGCCTGTCCACCATGTGAGACCCCAGGGGTGCTATGAATCAAGGTGCGTGCCCCAACTCAAGGGTGAGCCTAAGTATGTGATACACATGATGTGTCCTCCCCCTCCCCCTCATCTGGATCAGGACCGGCCTCCAGAGTTCCCATCCCCCAGCCTGTACCTGCCACAGCCTCGAAGCCTTGAAGACACAAACCAGAGGGAACCAGGCCTGGAGGGAGGCCCTCTCCAGGCAGCGATGCCCGAGGGCCAGGTCGTGCCAAGGGACTGTAAGGTGGCCCCACCCTGTCGAGCGGGGAGCAGGGCGATTTTCTACTGGACCCCCCTTCCTCTCTGGGTTCTCAAGGAGGCAGGGATGGCAACCTTTTGGGGGCAGGAGTGATGACCCCCTGCTCTTTGCCATGCCATCACACGGACCCTTTGGCAGCAGCCCTTTCCCCTGACACCCTCAGGCCTCCGTTCACAGCGGATAGTGGGTAGGGGCACCCCGCGGGTCTGTGCGCTGACTGGCTGCCTAGGCACTCTGGAGGCAGCTGAAGCCTCACTCTTGACCCGAGCTGCACCTGGCATCGCCCCTGCTCTGGAGGAAGGCTGGGCGGTAACGACAGACAGAAGGCATTCCAGGCAGCGGGCACGCATGAATCCTAAGTGATTGAACACATAAGGAGTCCAGCAGGACTGAGGGACAGGGCAGTGGGAGGGACTGAGCAGACGCCATGCCTGCTGCCCACTCTCAGCTGCACCCCCTCCTCTGCACCTGGATTTAGGAGAAAGCCCCACCCCCCTGCAGAAAGCTCTAGGGGGTGTCCCCCTCCCACAGGCCTAGCCCACAGTTTCCAAGTGAAGCCCGTTTCGGTGACAGCCTGGGACGTCATTACCCCTCCAGCACACACCACTTCCCTGGGCACTCCAGTCTCCCCAGCCTCTTGGAGCCAGGACCCCAGAGGTTGAAATGCTTAAGCTCACCCTAGTCACCTCTTTCTCTCCAGGGCTCCGGCCACTAGCAGGTACCTGAAGGCTTTATTAGACTAACCCAAACAGATGGAGACCCAGAAGGCAGTGACCAAGGGCGGCACCAGAGCTGGGGGCGCCCTTGGGACACGCATCTGCCCCGCCACACACATCACTGAGTCCTGGTGTCTAAACCAGCTTTCCATTAATACCTGTTGGACAAATTAATCCTCCGCCTTTCAGCCCAAACCGGGAAGAGACACGTCCACTGCCTGCGGTGGGTTTGCAGCGACCCAATTCAGGCCCTCCCGGGTCACAGGCAGCCCGGGCCTCGGCCAAGGTGCCATCACGCCGATGCCACGCACGCGCGAGCCCAAGGGCTTTCCCACGAGGCGCGTCAGGCCCCCTCGCGCCCCCCAGGTGGACGCCAAGCAGCTCGCAGAGCCAGGCAGCAAGGGGGCGGTGGTGTGCCTCTGCGCTCGGGTCAGCTCGGCCCGACGGCTGCGGGGGAGGGTGGAGGCGGCCCCACACTTGTCTGGCCTTGGCCCTGGGCGCAGCGAGGAGGGCGCAGGGGCATCCTCCCTGCGGCCCCCGATTCGCCACGCCCCACTCTCCAGTCACACACCCGGCGCCCTGGACCGCCAGTCCCTGCGGGGCCCGAAGGCCTTTAAAGACACGCGACCCCACAGAGAGCGAGCCAGGCGCCTCCCAGGCTTGATGTCAAGCCCACCACAGCCCCACGAGGCAGGGGTTACCCCCATTTTACAGACAGGGATGCCCCAGCCGGAGGTGAACCGCTAGGCCCAGAGCTCGCAGGTGAGCTGGCCTCGCCCTCGCTGCCGCGCCTGGTCCCGGCCGCCACGCGCCCCGGGGGGCCCGCCGCTTCCTTACCCCCGGCGCAGCCAGCCAGGAAGTCGAGCGCCATTGCCCGGTGCCCGGCGCAGCCGCCTTCCTCCTCGTCCTGCTCCTCCCCCGACTCTTCGCCCGGGCTAGGCCCCCGTCGGGGCCCCGGTTTGCGGGGCTAGAGCTCAGCCTGGCCGCCACTTCCTGGCGCGGAGCCCTGGGCGCCCCGGGGTAGGGGGTGGCGGCGGCTCAGGGCGCGACTCCTTGTCCCGCGCTCGGCCCCGCCGACTCGCTCGCTGCCTGCCCGCCCGCACACCGGCCGCTAGTGGCCCCTCACCTCGGGCCGCGTCCCCGCCCCTCGAGTCCGCCGGCGGGCGCGGAGTGTAGCCAATGGGCGGGCGGGGCACGGACAACACCCCGGGCGCTGCGCCCCGCCGCCGCGCCTCATTGGCTAGACCTGAGCGGAGCGGGCGGGGTGCAGGGGACGTGGCTGGAGGGCGGGGGAGGTGCGGAGGAGCCGCAGACAAAGAGTGTGCTTAGTGCGCCCGCCCGCGCCGCCCCCGGCGAGAGAGGCTGCGCGGTGCGCCGCGGCAGGCGGTCCGGCCCAGCCAGGAGTCCACGCCCGAGAGCTGCCAGAGCCGGCCCAGACCCACCTGCGTGCGCCCCGCGGGGCTGGCTGAGCCAGGGCGGCGCTTGCTCTTGCTGGGCCCAGGAATCCGAGAGCCGGGTTCGGATTCCGATTGCGCCACCGAGTCTCCGAGTCCTGGCCTGTAGAATGGGGATACGGAGCCGCGGTAACGGATGCCGAGCTCTAGGACTTCCGAGGCTGCGGGCTTGGGCGCGACTGGTCTTGAAACTCCTTGGCAGCGGACACCCCTCGGGAACCGGGCGGTGGCCTGGGGGCTAGGGCTCGCCTGGCCGGACACGCGGCGCGTAGGGTCTCCGAGCGCGGCCGGCTGGGGCCGAGCCTGGGTTCCGGGCGAGGAGGAGCGCATTTTAAACACAGAGGGCGCCAAGCCGGCTCCGACCTCGGCCGGGGGACGTAGGGCGCGGGCTGCGGGGCGCAGGAGCCGCGGAGGGCTGCGGAGCCGTGGGTGGCGAGGTGGGTGGGGATGGTCAAGGTCAAGAGCTGCCGGGCCGAGCTGGCCCACAACGTGGCGCATCCCACGGCGGTGCCTGGAGACGCCTTGTGGCGGGAGAGCGCGCGCACCGGGCTCAGGAGGGGGCCGCGGAGGGAAAGGAGTGTGCGTGGGCACCGCGGTGGGTGAGCCTGGCTCTGGGTGGCCATGGGTCGCTCGCGGCAGGGGGTGGGGAGGTCAGGAGGAGCCAAATCTGAACGCTCCCCCCGGACTCCCTGACATTGGCAGAGATGGACCCCTGGCCTCTGCAGAGGGCCCGGGTGGGCGCTGCAGGTCCTGGCAGGGGGCGGGGCCCGAGCAGCAGGAGGTGGGGCGGAGCCAGGCCTGGCCGGGTGCTTTCTCCTTCACAGTGAATCTGGTAACACAGTTGGGCCAAGGCCCAACCTGCGTCCAGATCACACTTTGGGTGACATCTGGAGAAGGCAGTTCTCGTCCATTGGTTCGGTTCCCATTTCACCGCTTCTGAGATTGGGATGCGGGTTGCAGTGGATAAGAGATCTAGGCAGGTTTTAAAGATGACATAATGTTTGGTACAGGGAATATATGTCAGGTGTATGCAAGCAGTGGGAGCCCTGGTGGCTCAGTGGTTAAAATGCTCAGCTGCTTAAGGGAAAGTCAGTACCTGGAACCCACCACCTGCTCTGCGGGAGAAAGATGCGAAAATCTGCGTCCAAAAAGCGCCAGGAAATCTATGGTGCAGTTGTGTTCTGTTCTTTCCTCTAGGGTCGCTGTGAGTCGGAGTCAACTCCACGCAGTGGGCTTGCTTTCTTGTTTCATATGCAGAGACCCAAACCCAGGTCAGCTGACTCCTAGTCCAGTGCTCGTGATGCCTGTGGGGCCCTGAACTAGGGGTCTGGAGGCCTAGGTTTGAATATCGCCGGCCTCTGGCCCAGCTGGAGGCCTCGGGAGGCAGGTGGGGATGGATGGGGCTGAGTCCTGGGCCAGGAAGGCATGCGGCATGGGGCCCAGCAAAAGCCCAGCCTGAAACTGGGGCCAGCACTGATGTTGCGGACCCAGGTGGCAGGAGCCCTTCCCTGCTGTGGCTGTGGAGCTGGACAGGCTGTGTGGTATCTCAGTCCCAGAGACAAGGGGGCTTCTGGGCTGCCCCAGGCTGCAGTAGGTAAAGCCCAAATAGCAGCTGCATCGCTGTGCCTCACGAGGCTGGGGAGAAAAGTCAGATCTTGGCTCAGTTGCGAAGATGACCTGTGCCCTTACTCTGTTTTAAAGAGAAAGCATGTTAATGTTTCCCTTAGGGCTGGTGGCCCTAAGGTCCCAGGGGGAGGGGCACAGCAGCCTGGTCCACAGGATACACTCAAGAGTTAAGCTTCTGAAAGCCCCTTGGAGGGAGGCCCTTTCTTTTTGGCAGCCCCAGCAGGGGCCCAGGTCGGGAAAGTGTGCGAGGCCTCCAGCTGGGCCGCTTGTGGGAGATGGGACAGCTCTGGGGGGACCACTGTTCAGGTGGGGTCTTGTTGGGTTTAAGGACAAAGGTCCAGTATGTGTGATGTATGGAGGGGGCAGGCCCTGGGGCAGGTCTGCCTTCTCTGGCCTGCCACAGAAGCCTCAGCTGTGGCTGCCTCCACCTGGGGCTGGGGCACCTTGAGAGCACACCAGGGTTTGTCCTGCTCAAATACCCCAGGGTCTGCTCAGATCAGCATATGTGTGGGGACAAAAGGGTGAAGGCCTGGGACTCAGTCACCTAGTGCTGCTGTTAGAAATACCACAAGGGGCTAGCTTTCATAAACAGAAATTCATTTTCTTACCGTTCAGGAGGCTGCAAGTCTGAACTCAGGGTGCTGGCTGTTGGCTCTGGGGAAAACATCCTTGTCTCAGCTTCTCTAGGGTTCCTCTCTGTTCCTTGGAGATCTCCCCGTGCCATCTGGCTTGTCTTCATTTGTACCTGTTTCTCTCTGTGTCTAGTATCTCAGGAATTTTTATATAACACTCCCTACTCTGCTGTGGCTGCATTAACATGACAAAGAGAAGCCTGCTTCCAAATGGGGTTACAAACCACAGGTACTAAGACCAAAAACCCAAATCCTTGCCATCACCTTGATTCTGACTCAGCAACCCTATAGGACAGAGTAGAACTGCCCCGTAGGGTTTCTAAAGCTGTCGATCTTTCCCCACAGAGGTGGGTTTGAACCGCAGCTGAGCCACTGGGGTTCCTTTCCACAGGTTCGTTGCTTTTAGGTGATGTGGAGTCTTTTCCGACCCATCGCAGCCACTGTGTCAGTCCATCTCTTAAGGACCCTCTCCTTTACCAAGCATGACCTCCTTCTCCAGAGACTGGTCCCTTCTGACAACATGACCAAAGTACGTGAGACGAAGTCTGGCCATTCTCACGTCTAAAGAGCATTCTGGCTGTAGTTCTTCCCAGACGGATTCATTCGTTCTATCAGCGTTCAATATTTTCAGCATTCTTTGCCAACAACGTAGTTCAAATGCATCAATTCTTCTTTGGTCTTCCTTATTCACTTCCAGCTTTCACATGCGTATACCTTAGTCTTCAGAGTGACATCTTTGCTCCTTCACACTTTAAAGAGGTCTTTTGCAGCAGATTTGCCTGGGCAATGCGACATCTGATTTCTTGACTGCTGCTTCCAGGGGTGTTGATTGTGGATCCAAGTAAAATGAAATCCTTGACAACTTCAGTCTTTTCTCCACTTACCATGATAGTGCTTATTGGTCCAGTTGTGAGGGTTTTTGTTTTGTGCTGAGGTGTAATCCACACTGAAGGCTGCAGTCTTTGATCTCCATCACTAAGTGCTTCCACAGGTATAGGGGATAGGATTGACAGTGTGTATTTTGAGGGACGTAATTCAGTCCACCACAGTGACCAACCCTTTCAAAATCTCATCTGTCCTAAAAACCACATCTCCTGAAATAAGGGAATCTTACTGCCCCGCCCAAGTGCATGGATACTTATTGGAGGTCAGCTCTGTCCCTCTATTAAAAGGAGCTCTGGTGGCATAGTGGGTAAGGCATTTGGCTGCTACCTGGAAGGTTGGCGGTTCAAACCCACCAGCTGGTCCATGGGAAGATGATGAGGCAATCTACTTCCTTAAAGATTTACAGCCTTGGAAACGCAATGGGGGTCACTATGAGTTGGAATCAACTCAATAGCAGTGGGTTTGGGTTTGGGTTGCTCTGTGCCCAGGTTGGAGACCAGACACCCACCCCACCTTCCAGGGGATTCCAGAGCCCCTGGGGAGAGACCAAGAAAGAGAAGGTAAGTCATGGCCCAATACATGAACCCATGATGCCCACGTCGTCTTGGGATGGCATTACATCAGCAGTTGTGTCACTGCACTCCCAGAGGGCGGAAGGCAACTTTTCCAATTCCCCCATTCCGAAGAGCCTCCCTGCCAGGACTAGGAAGGGCTCAAGGACAGGGCAATAGGAGGACATGGGGAGTTGGCTGAGGGAGGAGGGAGGTTACAGTCGCTGTCATTGAGGGCGAGCTTACAGCTTACAACTTCTTACAGAGACAGGTTCAGTGTGGCAAAATTAGAAACGCCAGCAAGTGGAGAGAAAGGCCTGATTGCCCCCACCCTCACTCTGTGGAACTTGGTGGCGGGAGGCTGTGGTCGCTGTGTGTACAGGGGGGAGGACTTGATGGGGGCCTGCAAGTCAAGGTGCCACAGGGAGAGAGGGCAGGACAGGGCCAGAGGGGACAAGGGCAGGTGTAGTTGTAAGATGGGAGTGGCCCAAGCAGATGACAAAGGAGCGAAGAGGGCAGGGCTGGCAGTCAGCTCCCGTCCCATGTGGCGTAGAATCCAGGGTCCTGGCTGGGCCCATGAGGCCCGAGGAGACCTGGCTGTGGCCTCCTCTCCCCTTTACCCCCATTGCAGCTGTTGTGGCTGTCACGCTGCACTCACACTCCACGTTTGCGCCCACCCCAGGGTCTTTGCACTGGCTGCTCTCTGCCTGGGACACTTCCTTCCGCCCAGCCTTGCATGGCTCATCCCTGGAACTCGGAACTTGCGAGGGGCCTGCTCGAGTCTCCCCTCCTCAAGAGGGCTCGGCTGCCCCTTCTCACGTGAAGGAGAGAGGCTCTTCTGCCTCAGCCCTGGAAGTGACTGTCTCTCCCACTGAGCTGTGACATCTTCTGTCGTCTTCACTTGCGGTGAGCAGGAGGTGCTGCGTCCGAGCTTCAGTTCCAAAGCACCTGGTGTGTGGAGGGCTGTGGTCTGCAGCCGGAGCCCTGACTCCGTTTGGAGGCTTGACATAAATTCAAATGCCGTTGTGTTCTTGATGTCACTTCCCCAGTGCTTGTGACCGTTAACCCAGCACTGTGGCTGTGCTTGGACAAGTCTGGGGCAGGCCCACGGAGGGCACCTGGCCCTCAGGAAGAGTGTGGCTGAGAGATTATGTGGGAAGGTGCCCACGCCAAGAACTAGGGAGCTTACCTGGGTGTGTCCTGAGTGATTTACCAAAAACAGCCAACCAGACGCTTGTTGTCTAAGTTAAAGGTTGGGGCTTGGTGACTGTGACTCAGGTTGTGTTGTCATGAGTCACCCCACCCCTCCATAGCCAGGTAATCGAAACCCCAGAACCAGTCCCGTAACCCTGTATAACCTGCACTTATGGACATATCCCAGCTGTGGTCCCTTTCCCTGCTTCTGTGGCCCCACCTGCGACAGTGATGGGTTGACCTGCCCCCAGCCATGTCCCTGTGATGATTTCCTTTGTCATGTATGACGAACGGCAGGGCTGTGGTTCGGCAGATGCCATCGGCCTCTGTGGTGGGTCCGTGCTGACGGTGTCCCTCATCTGGATGACTGTCACGGCTCTGTCTAAGGCTTTGTAAGAGGGTCTCTAGAATGTGTTTGGATCTGGGGTCTTTTTCTCCTGGCCCAGGGCTCCCAGTGCACATATCCCCTGGCACCGTGCTTGGTAAATGTCCTGGCTGACAGTCACAGAATGACCAGAGCCGTGGGAGGTGATGGGATCCTGAGGGAAGGTGAGGGGCACTTGTGTTCCCCTAAGACAAAGAAGCAAGGGGTGGTAGAAGGTTCTGGCAC